TATATATAATAAAATATATATATATAATAATATATATATATATATAATAAGTAAGTAAGAGAACACATACTTACGAATAGGCGAGTGGGGGAAAAGAGCGTGGGTAAGAAAATAGAAACACAAGGGAGAAGCATAGAGTAAATCGTACGAAAAGAGAACGCATAGCGGAGAAGGAAGCGCGTGAACCTCAAGAGAGGCAAGGCGCATGAACCTCGGGAGAGCCCTCGGGAGCGGACGTAGATCCAAGGAGGGCGCGGAGAAAATACACAGTCAGGCCCCTAACTTTGGGCGTTAGGCGCCTAACTGGGGGGCAATTGTTGGGGGAATGAACATGGGCCGGCCAGAGGGGAGAAGCCCAAAGTAAGTTATTATGGACCAGAGGCGTGGGCCCAACCAAGGAGACTGAGAAAGCCCAGGGGAGCAGGAACCTTGGTCTGAAGGGCGCCTGGGCCTAGGCCTAGATGACTGAGATAGCGTGTGAGACAGGTGGGACCGGGCACCTGGCGAGGGACATATGAGACAAAGGCAGCCAACGGTCGGAAGTGTACGAAAAGCTGATCCGGTGATGTCATGCGCCTCCAACCTCTAACCGAGGTGTCAGATGGTCGAGGCGCATGGTCTAGGGGTGTACGGCGCATTTATGGCGGGTCTGACACAGGGCGAGAGCGACGTGTACCGGTCGATCTCGCTCCGGGTATAAATAATCGAGTAGGTAAACCTCATTTATTGAGTTTTGCTTCTCTTACTAGAACTGTTCCTTCACTTCTCTCTCTAGAAAGCAGGTTCTTACTTGAGCATTGGAGTGCTAACGGACCACTTCGGTCCGCTAGCGCTTGTGTGGGTGCAGGGAGGCGGCCGCGTAAGCGGACGGAGGAGCTAGAGGTGCGAAGCGTAAGAAGGGGGTTACCGGGCATAAACACTATGGTTCATAAAGAATAATCCAACCTTAATTGAGAAAACACATTTTGGGGGAAAATGTAAAAGTTCTTGTAAAAGCTCTACAAAGACTCTAAAGTTAAATATGCTTGTGTAAATTGTGAAGTAGTGTAGAGATGGGTGACCTTTCGGAAAGTCACCATGATGCATCCCAAAGTAAAACCGTGTGGTAGTAGACTCAAAGCGGACAATATATTGATCGAGAAAATAGTTGAAATGTTACAATACCACTAAGTAATGTGCATTATTGAATATGTTGTCTGCCCCTGCCGTTGGTCCATGCTTGCGTGGTACCATTGTGTTTGCAACTTTCAACGTGAGAAGAGGTGTGATACAAATGAAAAGCTGATTTCGATTGTGTAAATGTTGAAGTCTACAGTCTGGATAGAAAAAATTATATGTAAAATAAGTCTTTTATACATTGTTATCATAAAATTCGACAATCAAGTTAATTCTGAGACTTGATAAGATATAAAAATTTAGAGAACAAACAAATAATTTTCTAATGATAAGAAATTAAGAATTGAGAAATAGTTATACTAAGAGGCAACTTGCTCTATACTACACCATTTGGCCTATCTTCAGCACAAACCTATTCATATTTCTTTATGATGTTGGAGCTTCAATTCTTTTCTGTCTCGTTTAATAATAAAGTCAATTTTTATTAGATAATTGTAGTCTTAGCTGAATTCAGGCCGATTGGTAATTTACTTATTTTTTAACCATGAAAAAGGGGAAGAGTCATTGGTCGTATTTGTCTGTTCCTTCTTTTGTATATTTTCGTCGCATTCAGTGATGCTCGTACTCATCTAGCACTTTAAAGGCCTATTGGAGCGGCGGTACAACATAATATTATATGTTCTAGGGAGGAGTTAGAGTGCTAACTCTCTAAGGGTTAGCACCATGCTAACCATTCTCATCACCATTCATTATATTTAAGTTAAATCTAATGGTAAAGAATAACAAAGGGCATGTTTGGTATTTCATAAAATTAAGTTTAATAAAAAAAAATTATAAATATTTATATCGCAAAGAATTCCAACGCTGATAAAATTAATATTGAAAAATCACTACTACTTAGATTAGTAGGGATTTAACAATTCTGTCGTAGTGTTTTTATTTTCATGTCAGTATTGATTTTAATGTAAATGACAAATTAGTAGTGATTTAACACTTGTGTTGTAGTGATTCTAATAATGATTTTGTTTTAATAGTGATTTACATGTCAATAGATACAAAATAGTACCACATAATCACTGCTGAGAATAATCAACAAATCTGTCATTCCTCTCCTCAGTACGCTACTAATATATAACAAATCACTACGTCCCACATATGGCCATTCGTCTCCTTAATAAGCTACTAAGCACTACATAATTACATAACAATTACTAGATTAGGGCCCGCCCGTTGGAGGGTATATTCTATCAACTACATAAAAAACAATAGTAAATGTTCGAATCAAATATGCATTTTTATTTGGCATGATAAAAGAATCTAAATCATTCAGTTAGTGACAACATAGAAAAACAAACATATATATAGAGTTTTTCGACATCCTAATCAATTCATATGCATAAGAATGAAATTAAAAAAAGAACTAAACACAAAGGATCATATAGAGGTTTTGTCTAGAACTTATACCTGATGTTGTCGTACAATTCCCACAAAAGTACTCGTCGAAGTCTTCTTCACCTTTTCATGGACAGTGTTCGCATTAAACATAACACCACTTGTTCCTCACGTTGAAAAGGGTTAGCATTTTATTGTTAATGAGTCTGTAAATTACAACTGTACATACCTCATCTCTAATCATCGCTCCAATTCGTTGAACTCTTGCAATATTTGGTATTGATTGGTGGTTGGGTTTCAGCTTTGACTCTCATTAGAGGATGTGGTGCATATGCATCACTTATATTACCGAAGTTTTTTATATTGTAATACCATTTTTCTAAAATTCCTGACTTATAACATACAACCCATAGATTCAAATTACATGAATTTCACCTTGACGCGAAGTCAATAATTCTCAAATTTGTAGATTCAACAACGGCAAGGTAGCTACAAATGAGAAGGGCTTTCATTTGCGAATTTGGTTATCCATTAATTAAAAAATAGTTAGCTAATAGATGCCCAAATAAAATACTAATATATATTTTTTACTATTATATAACATGTAAATATTATGATCAGAGGATCACCAACATTTTCCAGATTGTCATTTATTGACCTAACCATGGAATAACCTTCACAATCAATCATAGAATAACCATGGAATAACCTTCCGAAATTGTACATTATGCACAGAATCATAGTTTAAATAGTGCATGTAATTTTAAAATGCAGGTTTAGTGAATCATATGCTCGAAAAGCTTTAGTTGGGTCTCTTTAAGCTTTCGACTTATATAAAAATCATAATTTGTCTTGCTAATTTTGTCAATAGTTGATCAATTCTCTTCAACTTTGACTTATGTGAGTTAACTTATGACCAATACGACAAACAATAATTTTGCAATTTCAAATAATCAAAGTAATTATAGTGATTATAAACTGACCAGAGTTATTATTGATGGTCATACTATTAGAAAGATTATTTCCCAGTTTGGGTATAGATTAATGAGAGTTAAACATGAATTCCGGTACTACAAAACAACTTTCCACTTCCATGAACCACACTCGGTATGAATGCACACTAAACTGCAAAGTGTATGTAATAGAGACTAATAAATATATGTACTTGTGTTTAAGGTTTAAAGACTGAATTGAATCATTGTTTTGCTAACTGGGCGATTCTATGCCGAGAATGTTTTTATTCATTGGTTTGAACAATTTCATTTTGTGTAAAGTCAATGCATCTTTGTACCTTACTATCTTCAATTTCTAAAATGGTTTGTTTTATCGTAACATCCTACAATTAAATATTTGTAGTCTCTTGAATATACTTTTTATGTAGGTTTATAAGACATATATAGACGGAGTATAGACTCAGTTGTCAATGAAAATACTCAACCATCAATCACTATTTTGATAGTTTTCATAAAAAACATATATATATATATATCATATCCACACGTGATCGCTCATTTATTTAATCTTGACATCTCCAATATGTAGGTTTGTAAACTCTCGATGTAAGACATTATGCCTCGATTTATCAAACATAATACTTAAGTTTATTATCGTATACAATATACCTTAACTCATGATTCTCAAAATTAGGAGTGACTCTCAACCAACGTTTATTGATCATTGACTTAGTCTATCATAGGATTCTTAGCAAAGATGTCTAATCTCTAGATAATTTTTGTTTATCTAAATTCAAGGCAATTGACACATCATCCACATTTCTTTCCTTGACATGAAATTTTAGCTATCAATTCCGAACTTATAGCACACGCTCTGAAAAATTATATTTCTTGGTAAATATTTTCTATTAATAATTAATAGAATATGTTTATGATAGATTGCGGGCATGTGAAAAGTTGTAGCAGTTGAATAGTAGATTGATTACTTTAAACTAATGTGTTAGAAATCGTACTATACCTGAAGGTCGGACTGAAAATATCGGACCCCAAATAGTAAGTGGTTTTAGTGGTACAAAATGGTTGAACCACAATTCAATCATGATTTTAGTAAAAAATACATTACCACTAACTTTTGCGGTATGACTTCCAAACCGCTTCACAATCATTGCTTCAAACAAAGTCATTTGAAAACTAAATTTACAACTCTCAGAAACATTGTAATGTTTAATATGTTGTATAAGCCCAAAAATGAAAGAATAGTCCTCCTTTAAAACAAATTCTACTAATAATATTTGAAATACATTCTGCTAATAATATTAAATGAAAGGAGTGTCATTCCAAGAAAGATAAACCTAATCTCAATAGAGTTCTTATTTTGTTTGGATAATCTAGGGGATGTTGGCCAAATATTTTTTTATTTTCTTTTTAACTTTTAGTATGCCAAAATTGCCCTTTCTACAATCACTTAGAGAGTTAGAAATTCTGAATGAAAGATATTCTATGGAGAACCTCCATATAGTATTGGTATGACAGATTTGTCTACCGCCTGGCCCCTTCCATCTTGGTGCAAGATTCCACCGTGTTGGCCAGATCTGCCTTCTCCACTGTGGGATGCTGACAAACAAACATATATGCCTTCATCGACGTTAGAAAGCCTTTGTGACTAGGCTCGTCATGGTCCTCGCTTCCACCATGCTGGCAAGATCTGCCTTCTCCGTTCTGGGACCGCGAAAAATGAACAGATCTTCCTTCTTCGACGTTAAAAGATCGGTCGATCTTCCCTCCAGCACAAATCCACTTTCGTCGTGGTCTCATCTTCAAGCTCTGGCGAGAAACCGTCTTTCTCCATCGTGAGACGCCGACAAGAAAACATATTTGCCTTCTCCGGATCTTCCTTCTCCCATTGAGAGAAACAATGGAGGCATCAGAGGAAAGAAATAGGTTTTCTGGAGAACGTGGGAAGAGGGAGGCAGAAAAATGGTTTCAGGGATAGTAGTGGCTGTGGTGGGATGGAGGGGGGGGGGGGGTGTATCTACAAAGTACTATAAGGCAATGTCAAAATAGAGTCTTTGCCACGTCAGCCCTCATGATCAACCTGCACACTGCGGATGGGCTTTTCAGTCATTCTCAATTCCTCTCTTTCTCGCTATCTCTCTAGCCCAACCATCCCACAAAATCCGAACCCTCCTCTACCTCATCGCCTCCCAAAAGCGCAGAAATGGCCGGCGTTGCCCCCGCCCTTCCCTTTCCCGTCGTCGCTCCCTGTTTCTCTCGCTGTCTCTCTCTAGGCCGAATCGATAGCTAGTTCCTTAATCCTTTAACTCCCCTAAAAAAATTGAACTCCGCCACCCGCCAACCACAGCTCTTGTCTTCCTTAGCGGTTAACGCTGCCCTCGAAAGTGATATTTCAACCCTCGCCGGCGAGCAAAAAAATTAAACCGCCCCCTGTCGTCGCTCTCGCTCATACCCCTTCTCGCTATTTGACCATCTGTCTCCCAAGCCTCCCGGAAAGCCCACGCCTGACCGCCATCCTTGCTGCAATGCGCAATCTGCTCTCGGCCTAACAGAAGGTGTGTTTCGAATGTTCAAACTTTCTTTCTTCTTCTATACCATTTCTCATGGATTCCATCTGGAAATTTAGTCCCTCTCCTTTTATAATTTGATTCGCAAGTTTGTATCTTCGTTTCAAAGGGAGTTGCAGTCTATCAAAAATCTATGGGTTGGATGTCTGATTGGGAAGAACAAAGAGGCTTGAACTGCGATCACTCTCTTTCCCCACCCTTTTGTTCAATCTCACTACTCCATGGCTTAATTGTCGTGTGACTCACTTCTACTGTCACTCCAGGAATTGGCCAAGTGAAACCACTTCCTAAAGCGTAGTATAGCGGGTTTGGGTTTAAATGTCAACTCGGGTCCTAGATTTGATGACTACTCAGTGAATTCTTGTTATCTAGCAATGAAACTTTAATGCAGGTTCAAACTAACAAACTAACAAAGCAAGTAAACTGTTGTATTCAGGTTAAGAGAGGTCACCCGGATATGGTCCCCCCTAGCCTGCAGTTAAGCCGGATTGTAATTACCAAGTTCAGTTTCTATGATAGTTATACTGCGGAAGGTTCTTAAACAGCCTGAAGTCTCGACTAAAGGTCTTTAGACCCTCTCAATCTGAGTCTCTAGCGGGCGACTAACCTCCACCGGAGTAAACAGATTGAGGCCTTAACAAACAAAACCTCCACTACCGGAGTGAATCCGGTACAGAATAGTGAGTTGGCTCCTCGACTAAAGTCACCAACTCCCTACCTTCAATCAAGGATGCTCTATTAACCTAGGCAGATATTCTCATTCTAGGTCAAACCAGAAACAACAGGAATTTGATCAGGATTCATGCCATTCAATCATTCAAACCTCAATCGAATATAATCAACTCATAGAATCAGTACTTGGGTTCATACAATCAAACCTAACATAAAAATCTAGGGTTCTCCATACCCAAATGAATGGGAGAACTACTCCATGGAGAAAGATGCAAAAGCAGAATCAGACGCGGAATTCATACTGTGAAGGATGGATTCCTGCTTCTGGACGTTGATCGGCACTTCTTCAAGCTCAAACTGGCCTCCAATGGTGATGAAGATCAAGCTAGGGCACTTGGAGACTCTTGTTTGTCACTTTCTCTCTCTAGGAATCGCACTGTCTCTCTAAAACTCGAATCCCCTTATGTTTTGGCTGAAATATGCTTAAAAGGGCATCAGTGGCCAAAGCACGGTCGAGGGCACGGCCGTGCTTTGCCTCAGCCCGCCCGTGCTTTGGCTAGGGTTAATTACACGACCATTGTGTTGGGAGAAACACGACCGTGCTTTTGGGAGGACACGACCGTGCTTTGGTGGACACGGCCGTGCTTTGTCTCGGCCCTGCCCGTGTAATCAGCTCATGTTTGCCAAACTCGGATTAGCTCTCGGCAGTAAAAGCACGACCACAGAACATGGCCGTGTTCTGTTTTAGGTGTGCCCGTGTTTTGGCCCCAGCTCCACGAAATGACTTCCGAATGCCCCGAAACTCGTGCTTAGCCTTTCCTTTGACGCTTGGGACCTGAAATATGACAAAATAGCACAACCCGCCGTAAAATAGGCCAAAAGTACATGTCTATGCCCCTCAAACGGATAAGAACTAGGGGCGCAAATATGTGCAATTACATCGTTATCAAATTCCCCCACACTTAACCGTTTGCTTGTCCCCAAGCAAACCTAACTCAAACCAATGCAACTCTCCAGACCTCTATAGCAACAAACAACCCCGATCATAGGTAGAGGATTTCCTAGATCATTTAGCAGCTCACGAGGTCAACCGACGCACAAGTCATCTCATAGCTTCTTCGGTGAGAGCACTAGTATCGAGTCGGCATCATGGCAAATAGTGAACAGAGGACAAATGAATCGTGGGTGAAGAGATTCTCAAAAACAAAGGATCATGGACTCACATTTTTCAAGGTGCTCTATTTTCTTCTTGAAGATGGTTGGAACCCCTTTTCTTTCTATTTTGCTTGTTTTCTGTTTTTTTTAAGGGTCCAACCTGCTTTTCAGAAAATGGGGCTCCCACCTAGCAGAGGTTTTGCGGGAGCCCGGCTCTTACCGGCCATGCCAGGAGCGGATGTCTCGAGCCTCGTGCGGGGGAAAGACATGTAAGGGGGCAGGAGGTAGTAGGTGGAAATTGGGAACGAATTCCCGTCTCCCCTTACACACTTTCGCCCTATTCGCACGGGAGACGTTATTTTAAAGCACATTTTCGAGCACCTGTTAAACTCAAAACATGAAACAAGAGTCCATGACAGGTAGAGAGTCCACAACACCACACAATTCAAGGGTCCTAAGATCACTAATTCACTCAATCAACCAACACAATATGAAGAAGAAATGAGACTTCTTAAATGCATCAACATCCTCCATAGTGCTACACTACCTCCCTAGGTTGCATATTACTATAGAGACTGTCAATACAAAACATACTGAGCAGGCAATTGCAAGGAACACGTACTTGGAGCCCTCAAATTTAAAAATTTGGACAGTGGACTAGGCTCCAAGCACACAAACAGATCTAATGCAGTCAAAAGATAAACATCCCCCCACACTTAAGATCGACATTGCCCTCAATGGAGAAGAGGGAAGGGAAAGGGGAACGATGTTACCGGTATGCACGGACTGCAGGAGACTGGAAGCGGACCAGTCGGAGTGAAGTGGACTGGATAGAGGACAAGTCAAGACAAGCACAGCCAAAGGAAACCAAAGAGCTCAAGCGCAATATGTTAGGTCCAATGTCAGCCCAATAAGACATCATCCAAAACAAAAGAAAACAAACCAAAACCAAACTGGTTTACAATCCGACTCAAAACACAAGAAAGAAAGTCAAACCGTGGTGGGGTTGCCTCCCCACAAGCGCTTCTTTACCGTCTTTTAGCTGGACGCCCATGGTGGATACTCAGGGAAGTGAAGGAACAGGTGCCTCCAAGAGCGGATCCACGTCGCTCTTTAGGTACAGCTTCAGGTTGTGGCCATGCACCCGACGGATGCGACCACCATCATCGGTCAGCTCGACCTGCCCATCCGGCAAGATGCAGGCGAGTGAGTACCCGGACGGCCAGGGTGGTCGTGGTGCAGGAGGTGGGACCAGCTTGTAGTGGTCTCCACCCTTCTTCCGTGCAGGCTTGGCAACCTGCTGCTTCGGCCGCCACTCCTCCTTGATCTTTTTGCTCGGAGGCGAGACTGGATGGAGTGGCGGCGAAGGAATGATAGGAGGGTCCTGCAAAATGAGAGGAGCAGAAGGATACACGACAGGCTCGTGTACCTGATCAGAACTGGCATGCACAGGTGTGACAACAATCATAGCACAGTGATCAAATTCAGTCACAGAAAAAGTAGCACGCAGGATCAGTTTACCATCATGCACATCAATAAGTGCCTTGGCGGTGGCAAGAAATGGTCTACCCAGAATCAAAGGCACATCCACATCCTCATGTATATCAAGAATAACAAAATCAACAGGATATGTGAATGCACCTACTTAAACAAGCAGATCCTCTATGATCCCCCTAGGATGCACAATGGAACGATCAGCTAGCTGAATGCTCATCCTAGTAGGGCTAAGTTCACCTAGGTCTAGCTTTTTATACAACTTATATGGCATGACATTTATGCTAGCGCCTAGGTCCGCCAAGGACTTGCCTACATGCATGCTGCCAATAGTAAGAGGGATAGTAAAACTCCCTGGATCCTTGCGCTTTTCGGGCAGCTTGTTCTGCAGGATAGCAGAACACTCCTCACTCAGCAACACTGTCGAGAGATCCCCAAGTTTATTCTTGTTGGTGAGGAGATCTTTCATGAACTTCGCGTACTTGGGCATCTTCGACACTGCCTCCACAAACGGTATGCTGATGTTGAGCTGCTTCAACATTGCCATAAAATTGGCAAACTCAGTCTCCAAATTGTCTTTGTGTAGGCGAGTGGGGAAGGGAAGCTGGGGTACATGCTCCTTAACCACTGGTTGTGGCTTGGGAGCAGGGGCTTCCTTCTCCACCCGCACTTCTGCATCGTCGGCTGGAAGTGCTGAAGCAGGTAGTGGGTCCTCCTGCCTGGCCGGGACAGGATCAGCAGATATGGTCTTACCGCTCCTGGTAAAAATGGCATCCAGCTGCTGGAGCTGGTGAGGATCACGAGGATTCGGAATAGTGGTGGCAGGCAGAGTCCCCGGTGCCCTGGTAGTGTTTTGGCGGGCCAAGATACCCACCTAGTGCTGCAGATCTTGCAAAATGGCACCGTGGTTCCGATGACCTGCCTCCAGTGACGTGATAGCAGCCTGAGTGCTAGTCATTAATGAAGCTAGAATATTTTCCAGCTTTGTCATCCGGTCATCTGGGGCAGGGGCTGCTGTTGGCTCGACAAACTGACGCTGGGGCTGTTGGAATGGTTGCCCTTGCCTAGGCTGGTAGGGCTGCTGCTGTGGGGCTGGCCCCTGTCGAGCCTGGAAGGGCTGCCTCTGCTGAAAACCACCTGCTGGTGCTGGGAAACCAGGTGGTTTAGTGGTGTTGCTGCTCCAGGCGAAGTTGGGATGCTGGTGCCACCCGTCATTATATGTGTTGCTGTACGGGTCGAGGCGCCGAGCATTGGCGATGAAGTCCAACTGCTCTTGGGGAGTAGTAGACTCCCTCATAGCCTGGCAGTCTTCCACTAAGTGATTCGAGCTCTCACACCACTGACATTGAGCTACTGGAGGTGTAGCCACACCTCTGCCCGGAATAAGACTGTTGGGCTGCTTCAATGTTTGCACTAGCTCAGCTACCTGCTGCTCGAGCCCGGATCTGGTCTCCATGGCGTGCACACCACGGTCCCGGGAATGTCAGCCTCTGCTGTTCTGTCCCCAAGAATGATCTCTGGCAGCCAAAGTACTGATCATCTGGTTCAGCTCGGGTGGAGTCTTAGTAAGAATATCCCCTCCTGGGCATAAAGACTCAATCACCCTCTGGCTATCTAGGGAGAGAGCACTGTAGAATTTCCCCACTGTGAATGCATCACTAAAGCCATGATGGGGGCACTGCCAGAAATATCCCATGTACCGCTCCCATGCATCACGAAGTGACTCATCTGGCTCTTGGCGGAAGTGAGTGATCTCCCGCTGGATATCTGAAGTCTTCGATGCCGGATAGTACCTGTGCACGAATTTGTCAGCCAGATCGTCCCAAGAGGTGATGGACAATGGGGGCTGGGTCTCCAACCACCTCTTAGCATTCCCCTCCAGAGAATGGGGGAAGAGATGAAGGCGGATTGCATCATCAGGGACACCATTCAGCTTGAACCCGTTTGTCAGCTGCAGAAAACGGGAAAGATGCACCCTGGCCTCCTCATCCTTCAAGCCATGGAACTGGATAGAGGATGTAATGAGCTGAATCCAGCATGGCTTGATCTCGAAGTTGTTTGCTGGAATAGGCGGGTAGAGGATGACCGGCGGATGTCAGCAATCCGTGGAGTGTAGTAGTACTCCAAGGTGGGACCCGGCGGCGGTGGATGATGATGAGCCCCATGATCCTGGGGTATGGGGTTGTTCCCCAGGACCTGATTCACCGGGGGGGCCTGCTGAGGATTCCCCTGGTGTGGATTGTAGTCTCCGTCCATCCCGTACTCTTCTTCAGAATCGCTGCTCAGGTGGCCGTCTATGCGCTCTTCCGTAGCCAGTCTAGCTCGCTGTTGTCTCCTGAGCTGGCGACAGGTGCGGTCAATCTCTGGATTCAACGGCAGTTAACCTCCTGACTGGCTACGGGTCATGCATTACCTGCACACACTCAAGCAAGCAAACTCGTGAAGGCACAAGTGGGACAAAGCAAACAAAGCAAAAAGAAAAGCTAAATTAACAGAAATCACTTTTCTTCAACAACGTAGCCGTCCCCGGCACCGGCGCCAAAAACTTGACTCACTTCTACTGTCACTTCAGGAATTGGCCAAGTGAAACCACTTCCTAAAGTGTAGTATAGCGGGTTTAGGTTTAAATGTCAACCCGAGTCCTAGATTTGATGACTACTCGGTGAATTCTTGTTATCTAGCAATGAAACTTTAATGCAAGTCTAATCTAACAAACTAACAAAGCAAGTAAACTGTTGTATTCAGGTTAAGAGAGGTCACCCGGATATGGTTCCCCCTAGACTGCAGTTAAGCCGGATTGTAATTACCAAGTTCAGTTTCTATGATAGTTATACTGCGGAAGGTTCTTAAACAGCCTGAAGTCTCGACTAAAGGTCTTCAGACCCTCTCAATCTGAGTCTCTAGCGGGCGACTAACCTCCACCGGAGTAAACAGATTGAGGCCTTAACAAACAAAACCTCCACTACCGGAGTGAATCCGGTTCAGAATAGTGAGTTGGCTCCTCGACTAAAGTCACCAACTCCCTACCTTCAATCAAGGATGCTCTATTAACCTAGGCAGATATTCTCATTCTAGGTCAAACCAGAAACAACAGGAATTTGATCAGGATTCATGCCATTCAATCATTCAAACCTCAATCGAATATAATCAACTCATAGAATCAGTACTTGGGTTCATACAATCAAACCTAACATAAAAATCTAGGGTTCTCCATACCCAAATGAATGGGAGAACTACTCCATGTAGAAAGAAGCAAAAGCAGAATCAGACGCGGAATTCATACTGTGAAGGATGGATTCCTGCTTCTGGACGTTGATCGGCACTTCTCCAAGCTCAAACTGGCCTCCAATGGTGATGAAGATCAAGCTAGGGCACTTGGAGACTCTTGTTCGTCACTTTCTCTCTCTAGGAATCGCTCTGTCTCTCTAAAACTCGAATCCCCTTCTGTTTTGGCTGAAATCTGCTTAAAAGGGCATCAGTGGCCAAAGCACGGTCGAGGGCACGGCCGTGCTTTGCCTCAGCCCGCCCGTGCTTTGGCTAGGGTTAATTACACGGCCATTGTGTTGGGAGAAACACGACCGTGCTTTTGGGAAGACACGGCCGTGCTTTGGTGGACACGGCCGTGCTTTGTCTCGGCCCTGCCCGTGTAATCAGCTCATTTTTGCCAAACTCGAATTAGCTCTCGGCAGTAAAAGCACGGCCACAGAACACGGCCGTGTTCTGTTTTAGGTGTGCCCGTGTTGTGGCTCCAGCTCAACGAAATGACTTCCGAATGCCCCGAAACTCGTGCTTAGCCTTTCCTTTGACGCCTGGGACCTGAAATATGACAAAATAGCACAACCCGGCGTAAAATAGGCCCAAAGTACACGACTATGCCCCTCAAACGGATAAGAACTAGGGGCGCAAATATGTGCAATTACATCGTTATCATCGTGCAAACCCCAGGCTCCGCCAGTTAAGAGTAGCTTGATCAAATTGCTGAAATTGTTTTTGTTATGATTGCATCAATATTTCTTTACTACTGTCACATCTTTTAGCAATTAGCTGTTGTATTTAAGGATATGCTGGGTATTACATCTTAACTTATATGATTTGTTAGTGGTATTACATGATAACAGTTTTCTGGATGATCAAACAATCACAGTAATGGACAACAAACTAAAGGCAGAGCTTCAAACTTTTGCAATGATACCTAGGTACCATGATTCAAGGTTGATGCCACTGATATGGGAGATATTTGTACCAGTGTCAACAACTCACAAGATGAACCAAACTTAGAGGAAAGCTACGACACTTATCCAAGTTCTGGAGGTCTAAGAGGGAGTACCTTGAAGAAGCAGAAAAAGAATCCATGTTGTTGTCTCGGACATTGCGTAGTACTGGAATGATTTGTTTGATGGTAAGGTTCGGGTTAGGAACATTGTATTTGGTAGTTTGCTTCTCATATATGGGATGGCATGTTGGTAAATAGGTTCAACTTTTGTATGCTGCTTATAATAGGACTTTCATGTTGTGCTAATTCAAAAACAACTTATTCCTGCAATTTATGTGGCTAATCCAAAAGAATGCACTTTCAGCTTGCTTTGGTTTGTTTATCTTTGGAGTTTCAGGTTATGTTTATTCAAACAGTAGCTTACCATGTCGTTTATTCCAAAGAAAGATGTTATGCTTGATGTGGTTTGCTTTTCAATTATAAGCAGTTTTAGTATGCTTTTATTCACGCAACAACAACTTATTGGTCTTATTTATCTTTCAGTATGTTTTTATTCCCCCAAGCCCCAGCTCAGTGCCTCCCGACATCGGTCCTCGGAATTCCCTCCCAAATCCAACCGCTGAGGAAACAATCCTTCTCTGTCTCGCTCTGTGCCTTCAAAAACCGACTCTGTTTTTGCTTATTTGCTCTCAAAGGCAAAGGTATGGACCATCCTAAACCTATTCATATATGTCCACATTTTCTCCCAGTTTCTCAAGAAGGAGGCTAATCCATAGCTGAATATTCTGTGTGATTCATCCCATACTTCTATATCTGTTCCCTGCATGCACATAAGCAAGATTCATTTTGGGCATCAAACCCATCAAAAGCAAAATAAGCAAATCCAAACACAACAATAATAGCGAAGAGTGGAATTTAAAGCGGAGGAAGCAAGGGAAGGGGTGGAAGGAGGAATTAGGGGGCCATGCAAAAGGAGGAGCAGACACGTTGATGGGGAATGGTGGGTCCACTAGAATGCCAAATGGGGCTATTATTCTCCAATTGTGATACCAAATTCTTTATGGCTTTTGCAGGAAACCTAGGTTGAAATTCCAAACCCCAGTTATCGGTTAAAGGAGACAAACTATTGTATTCCCTCTTCAAAGTGTCGACCTTTGCGGCTTTGCCCCCACTTGCCGCACAAGGGAGGCTGATCATCATCTAAAATTATATTTTCCTCTGCCGGCTCAAAGCTCTCATGGAAACGAAGAAGCAACAAAGGCTACCCATGGCATTTAGTCTCTCAGTTTCTTAGGTTTGTATATTTGTAGCAATACCTCAAGGGATTACAACACTGGCTGTGGGTCTCTCCCCCCAGCATGTACAAATACAACAAGCAGGTGAATTAAACGTGCAAAATTGTGGAGGGAAACAGTGATCTAATTAAAATGGTTATTTGTGCTTTAGTTGAATTTAACTTTGGAGATTTTGACTACACAACCTGTGTTTGAGTTCTATGGATGACACCAACCGTATGCTTATGTGTGATTGTAGCAGGAACATCTTGGTTGATTATGTTAATGATGTAGCCAAAATGTTGCTTCCTTCTAGGGGTCATCAAATAGTCTTCATTTTATGTCGTTTGTATAGAATATTATCACAACATTTGCTAATCCCGGCCAACGGGCCGGGCCCAATGCTAGTATATATTAGGGTTAGGGTTAGTGATTGTAGTGTTTACTAAATTAACCTTCCATTAATCTTGACCATTAATTAAAATTTTCATCTAACGGGTAAAAATAGAGATTAGCACCTAATCCCATTCCTATGTTCTATCATTTCCGTCACAATCATTGAGGTCCAAAACTGCCAAGAAGAATGAGCAGAGGGTATTTGAATCCGATCACACCTCACCGAATATAATTTGGTCCTACAAATTTTATAAGTACTGAAAAGAATAAATCGAATTGACATTTGAATCGGATCAAACTAGACAAAATGCATGGTTAATCCGATCCTTAGTTCTAAAATGTTTTTCACTGTTAGATCATGATTCTCATGAGATTGGTCAACATCAAACCAAACTATTGCAAACCCCTAACTATTAGCTATATCAAACCCACTCTAAACCCAAAAACCAACTTACGAAGAGGTAGTTGGTTGGATGTATTTGTTTATATTGATTTTTAATTACATAATTAATTGGGTGCAATCTAAGATATTTCTTTCAATTGAAATTGCATTCAATTCCACTATAACTTACACAAACAAATGATATTATTGTTTTTAATTATATTCACTTAGTTATTGATTACATACTCCCAAATACATCCGATCAAACATCCTCTTACTCAATCAAATAAACTAAAATGAGGTCTCATCGAGTCGTGCATGTTGCACTCGTAAGTGCAACATAACTCGATCCAAACCAAAACTACGATCCTCAGAGCACATACGAGCTCAGACACGGAACATCTTGAAGATCCTATCAAAGTCAAAAAGAGAAACACAAGTATTTGCCTATAAATAGACTATTAGGCATTCCAGATAAAAGATGTATCCTTCTCCACTCATCGTAACATATCACTTGTCTCTCTAAACTCTCGATCAATCTCACTGCATTTCCTTTCCACGATCTCTTTACAATAAAACTAATGTTGGCCGGTGAAATGTAGATGATGGAATTGCTCTCGTCATTCTACAAATCTTCAACGTTAAAATCAGAACCCGAGAATTTCATTGTTGAAACAGTACGTTTGTGGAGATTTAAACTTAACAAAGTTACATCCAATAGAGCACCCGAGAAGAAGAAACAACACAAGACTTGAAAAAAAATCAGTGCAAGTTCCTGTCTCCTAATGTAGCTCTTGTCCAACTCCAAAAAACTAGTAGTGTTATCAAAGAAAAATAGCCTGACTCAATAACTATGGCTCCTTCTCTAACATTCCAGCCATTTAGCTCATTTACATCCGTCGATGATCATTACGTGTTCCCAGTCCCATCCATCTAACTGTGCGCCTCCATCATCAACCGTTGATCCATGATCAGCTCCAGTCCCGTTCTTTGCATGATCACGACCGTCCACTTCCTCCTCGTTGGTTTCTTCCTGATCATCGACGACCCTCGTTCCTCTCATTTCATCTTCGGTCAACGATGAGACCAAACCATCAGTCTCCTGCACATCATCGTAATCATTCACTTTCATGTACTCATCATGTTTTGATCTTCTATCTTCACCGTCAGTCGATGATTCATTTAAACCGTCGATCTCCTCTTGGTCGTGACCAACCGCACCGGTTCCCAATAAAGTTTCGCCGATGATCTGCACGACCAAAATACCAACGTTGTAAAAAAATTGATTAATGTGCTAATAACTAGGGTGTCCGAACTCCTACCACAAGTCACATGCAAGTATCATAAGTGGAGTAAAGGTGGAAGAAAAGGGCACTCTCAATTTTGAAATACAGTTAAAATCACAATTTTGAAATACAGGTAAAATCACATGTAAAATTTGTAACAAAATTAATAAATAAACTAATCAGTAAAATTTTATCCCATTTATCACAATTCAAATCTACCCTCCTCATTCATATTCAGATTCATGACTCCGCGCCACTAGTGAATCATCATCTTCTCATCTATTATCGAAGTGATGATGAATGTCTAGATCCAATGAGCAATTGACCAAAAGTCACATTTAGAACGGAGCAGTATAACCAACGAAGAAGCTAGTCCCTATCAATCCAGTACCCTAATTCCAGGTCACATGGAAATTCAAAGGCCGTAAACCTGTACCATACCAGAAAACTCAACAATAGAGAATTTTATGAGAAAAAAACATGATTTACCGTTCTATAGCGCCAAAATCCACCTACCAGCTTAGCCGTCGATAAATTTTTTTTTTATCGAACTGCCGGTTCAGTACGGCTTCACAAAACCACACACGTATGATGGTAAGCAAGCTAAGCCAATTACCTGGGTCACGTGAAGACCAACGAGGCTGGCGACGACTTTGGAACTCTTGGAGTCGGCGACGGATTGAGGAAGCCCCAGCCGAACCATAGCTACGAACGATCTCAACGACGCGATGTAGTACACCAGAGCCAGCGACGAGCGCGACCCGTCAACGATCGCAGCGTTCCACGCCGCTCCCAACGTCATCGCCGACAGCAAGACAATGTACTGCCACGCCACGTCCGGCGCCACCAGGCTCACGTTGTACTTCTCCGGCGTAGACGTCACCGATAGCTTGCTCTCCTTCACCTAAAAACAAAAACAAACACAAACACGTACATATAATTTCACTTGGGCAAATAAGATTTCACTAATGATTGTTTTAAACCCACTTAATTTCAAGTTGTTGTGAGATTGTTGTGAGAATGTTATTCTCTCTTAAACGAAAGTCAAATCTAGAGCCAGAAGTTTACACATTACTACAATACTTTGTGAGTTAATAAATTGCTAATATTAGGTGTCTAGAGATTTAAACATAGGATCACTTGATCAAATCAGCTCTGATAACATATCATAAACATATTGTTCACAAAACTTGAATTATTGGAAGAGTTTTCATTATGTAACGCTAATGTAGTCAAAATCGCCCTTTAAAACTTAAAAACATACGGTTTTACGCTTCTAGGTCACCAAAATACTTCTACGCATAATCACCACTTTTATAACCAATGTAGTTAAAAATTATACTTTAAAACTTAAAAACTTACCGCTTCTAAATCACATAAACGATTTTATGTAGAAACCCGTTTTTGACTCATTGACTAACGCTTAATATTATACCTTTTTAGTTAGGGTAGGGAGCAAAACGGAGAGGGTGAACATGTTGCCAACATCGGATAGAATAGTGAGCTCCAGCGCCCACAGCAGCCTTCTCCCGGCGAGGAGGGCGGCGGCGAGACCGGCGGCCGCCGAAGCGATGCAGAGGATCGCGAGGTGTGCCGGCGGCGCGGTGAAGCCAGCGTTGAAATCAACCTAAACATAATTAAAACTCACGATTACGAAGAGATCTTAATTAAAATTGATAATGGGCTTCATTGATTGATTGAAAACCTGGCCGCTCTGCTTCCTTCGATCCCATGAAACGCTTAGCCGCAGCATTATTGAGAGGGATCGATTCGCTTCGACGAGAGAAAGACCGTTCGTCAACAGGCGCAGTGAAAAAGTTTCTTTTGACAGCAAGAGTCGTCTGGTTGTTGTTGTTGTTGAAGGATACCGTATTTAGCGGGATGCGGCGAAGGTGGGAAGATAAAAACTGAGGGAGAGAGGGGAGAAGTAATTAGTGGACTACTACTAGGATTAGGAAACGGAATTCTAATTATTCTAAGGGGAGACGGAGAAGGATCAAGGAAGTCTGGTTGATTAATTACTTAGCAAGTTGTAATAGCTCATTTGATCGAATGATTTGGGCTGAAACGTGTGCGTGTTCGGGAAGAAGAGGGGAAATCTCAGCTGTGGGCCCAAATTTTAGTTCTCGGTTGATCTGGTTGATGGAGGGGGAAAGCCCAGCACTGGGCCCAATAGCGGGTGGTGACAAAAATAAAATAATGCGGTGAGCGTGGATCGAACACACGACCTTCAGATCTTCAGTCTGACGCTCTCCCAACTGAGCTATCCCCGCTTTAATAATTTAATTTTACGAAAAGGCTTATAGTAAAATTACAGTTGTGGTCCAATGCTCAAACATTTCCATAAGCTAACTCTTGATCAGACCAGACGTATGATTCTTTGTAGGAACTAGGGATGGCAAATTACCCACCCATGGGTAATTATACCCAAACCCAAGTAGACCTATTAATAATGGGTTCGGTATGGGTGAAGTGCATATGGATTTGGGGGTTTATAGATGGGTTTGGGTTTGGGGCTTTCATAATCTAAATGGGTATGGGTTGGATATGGATATCCATTTACTTGAGGGTGTTTTAACTACACATGCAAAAATTGGACCTATTTGCAAAACTTGAAAAGTTTAGGTACCAAAATGTAAGACCAAAAAATTTTAGGTACCAAAACGTAATTTTCCATCAATATTTTGAGGACTTATATGCAAAAAAATTTAATTTAGGTACTAAATATGCATGTCTATTAAGTTTGGGTACCAAACTGTAATTTGTATTTGGGCATGGGTACAAACCCAAATCCATTTGATATAAACCCAACTCAACCCAAAGTAAATGGGTATGGGTACAAACCCATCAAACTCTACACATATCCATCTATTTGGATTTCATACCCAACCCAATTGGGTTGGATAGTAAAAAACTCATGGGTATGGGCAAAGTTGCCATCCCTAGTAGGAACATTAACTATAATAAATGCGTTTGGCTCGCTTTTTTTTATATAAAAGGAGAAATATGTCTTGCGATGGCAAACCCCGACCCTCAATAGATACCCGGCAAACTCTGAGAGTATTTAATACGAAGTTACAGTCCTGTCGGTGACCACCGAGAGAGTAACGCAGAAGTTTTGCTCACTTCTAATACAACATAAAACAAAAATTGGTACATAAAGAGAAGAGAAGTATGTAGTTGAAAAAACTAGTACTCCCTAGGTCTAGTTGAATGGTCTCTTTGTTATTCTTTTTTGTTTGGTGACAAAGAAAAATTCATCACCAAATGCTTTCATTATGAACATCAAGCAAGTCCATAAGAGTGGCTTAGATAGTCACTTGTAGTCTTGTTGTTGGCCACAACGAAACTTGTTGGGCATGTGACTCGGATCTCACCTCACTGAAGAAGCACCAAGGATAATCACGCCAAGGCAAAGTGCGCGAGTCACACCGGAGTCAAGTGCGCGAGTCACGCAGAGTCGAGCGCGCGAGTCACGCAGAGTCGAGCGCGCAAGTCGCGCCGGAATCAAGCGCACAGGTAAAGACCACCCCCGTAGAGGCGCGCGTAAACACTAAACGACGACGCGTTACACAGGCGGGGACCCTTACAGAGAAGCCGTAGAAGCGGCGCCGCGTCATCCAACAGGTAGTCACCATCATAGTCCTAGGTATAGTCCTGCCTATGTCAGGAGTAGTCACATCAGGGTCCTAAAAGTATGGCCTAAATCCCTGACATGTCAGTGGTCACATCATTGTACCCACTTGTAACCCAAGCACTCACCCACCACCATGTAGCCTATAAATATGCCATTTACTCCGGTGGGTGAGGGGATCGGATTTTTCAGACTCTATCTCTAAAATCATCAACTTCTCTCTCCAAACACACTCTCTCTCAGCTCTATTCTCCTTTCCATTTGTCTCAAAGTTCTCGTTCAACCCAGCCATTCGTTCTTCTCGACCCGTTCTCGTGAATCTCACTCCTACACCCAGTTAGGTTCAAACAATTGGCGCCCACCGTGGGGCCTGAAGAAAAATGGCAGAACAAGACTCCAACAACATACCCGGCGAGACAACCCCCATCAAGGCAATGACGGCCCCTAGGGTGTTCGCGGAACTCGCGGAAGCCAGCAATCGTGACGCGGTACTCATTGAGGAAGAAGAGCCCGAACTGACGGCCAAAGAGATGTGGCAGCTGGTGATGAAGCAAAACGACGTCATCGCCGACATGCAAAAGCAGATGAGCCAAGTCATCGCGCTCATGATGAGTAGAGAAGCCGCGGCAGCGACGAATGCGGCGCCTGGCACGTTGCAGCTAACGCAAGGAGGGGCATCAGGCGATGCCCCGCAACCACATCAGGCAGCGGTCGAGTTGCCCGCACCTGAAGCCCAGCGATGCGAACCGCCCGGAAGAGTGGACCTCAGCTTTTTGGAGCAGCACCTGTCCCCACAGTTCCGCCCCAACCCGCCTAGAAAAGCCCTACATCAGCCGTTGTGCGCGGAGATCATGGCGGAACACTTGAGCGGGACTCCACCCACCCTCCCCACGTACAACGGAACAACCGACCCTGAGGATCATGTCAGCACCTTTTGCCTGCGGATGCAGCTCCAAACCAATTCTAACGCGGCTCTGTGCCGGACGTTCCCATCAACGTTTTCCGGGATATGCCTCGACTGGTATAACCGCCTCCCCAATGGGATCATTCGCTCGTTCGAAGAATTCATACTCCTGTTCACGACGAAGTTCGCGTCGCAAAAAAGAAGGCCTCTCCACCTCAAGGAGCTGATAGACATACGCCAGAAGGATGGAGAAAGCCTGCGGGCGTTCTACGCCAGGTGGTCCAGGGTGGCAATGGCCGTAAGAGATCTCACCCCAGAAACCGCCGCCCATCACCTCATGGATGCCACCACAAGCATGGAGCTCAAAAGAGCGCTAGCAAAGAGACCAATCACGCTATCTACGGAGCTGGAGGTCAAGATCGAAAAGGCCATCACTTTGGAAGAGACGCTGGGCGCGGGTTCCATCAGACGCTTCGAACCCGCCAAAATGCTCAAAGAAGATCAAGCTCGTAAGCAGCTTCCTGTGCCGCGAGACCAGCTATTGCAAGCACACAGCGGCGCCAGACGACGACCACCACCGCCAGAACAAGCCCATCGGGGGCGATCGCCAGATAGACGCCCGCCAAACTACACACCCCTCAACGACACGGTGAAGAACGTTTACCACGTTCTGCGAGAGAAGGGGTACAAAATCAACTGGCTCGCACCCATGAAGACCCTCCCGCACATGCGAGACCCCAAGAAGCGCTGCGAATTCCACAGGGACATAGGTCACTGGACGGAAAACTGCAGAGAATTGCGCTATGAGATCGAGGGCCTCATACAGAGGGGACTCCTGAATGAGTTCATTCGCGGAGCGGAAGAACCAGCAGAGCGTCCTGTGGAACCCCCACCACCGCCACAGGCGGACTACGACGACGCCTCAGGCTCGTATGTAGTGCGAAAAGAAATTGAGGTAGTAACGGTAGAAGGGGACCGTCCGAAGAAAAAGACCAAACGCGACCGCGCCATAGAGTGTGCGGCGTCGGAGGCTCCACAGAAGTGCAACCTGAGCTTCAACGACGCTGAACTCCCCGGAGGGGTCCCATCAGAAGACCCGCTCATCATCACCGCGCTCGTCGCCGCCTGTAATGTTCGCCGCCTACTGATAGACGGAGGCAGCGCGGCGGACATCCTTTTCAAGAGCACGGTCGACCAGATGGACATTGATCCGCGGCTGATCAAGCGCGCTCACGGGAACTTGGTCGGTTTCTCCGACACGAGGGTCTCAGTTATTGGTGTGGTCACCCTACCTGTCGTACTTGGGGACCAAGAGCCACGCGTCTCAAAGCAAGTCGAGTTCACGATAGTCGTCTGCAAATCCCCCCACAATGGCATTTTCGGCCGCCCTTTCCTGGCGAAATTCATGGCTCTCCCGTCAACATGCCACCAGAAACTTAAATTCCCCACTAAGGAGGGGAGCGGCGAAGCTCGCGGGACAACACGGGAGGCCCCAAAGCTAGAAGAGCCCCGCCAGACCAAAACGAGCTCGCGGAGTCAATGGATTCTGATTTCGAAGTCGCCCTCGACCCAAACGAGCCAACGCGCAAGGTACGCGTCTCAACTCACGTTCCTGGAGACGCGATTGAACCGCTGGTAAAGCTGCTGAAGGAGTATAAAGAATTGTTCGCGTGGTACACGGAAGACATGCCAGGGGTACCAAGGGAAGTCGCCCAACATTCCCTTGGGGTCCCAGTTAGCGCGACACCAAGACAACAGGCGCGACGAAGCTTTACGGGCGACAAACTTAAGGCCATTGAGGAAGAGGTGGCGCGCCTATTGTCGGCGGGATTAATCCGTCCAGTGAAATACCCGAAGTGGCTGGTGAACGTAGTTTTGGTAAAGAAGTCTTCGGGGGCTTGGCGAATGTGCGTCGACTACACGACGATCAACAAGGTGTGCCCAGGAGATCCCTACCCACTGTCGCGCATCGACCAACTGATCGACGCCACCGCCGACCATGAAATACTGTCTTTTCTGGACATGTTCTCAGGGTACCACCAAATCCCAATGTCGCGCGAAGACGAAGAAAAAACAGCCTTCATGACACCGTTCGGAAACTTTTGTTTCGTCGGAATACCATTCGGGCTGAAGAATGTTGGCGCGACATACCAGAGGATGATCGACGCAGTGTTTTCACAACAAAGGGGGCGCAACATTGAGGCATACGTGGATGACCTCATCGTCAAGACCAAGGCAGGAAAGTCACATCTGGAGGACCTGCGTGAGACATTCGAAGCGCTACGCAAACACAGTCTCCGCTTGAACCCGCTGAAATGCGTGTTCGGAGCAGAAGCCGGAAAATTCTTGGGATTCATGATCACCAAGCGCGTCATCGAAGTCGATCCAAAGCAGATCACCGCAGTCCAGGGCTTGCGCGCGCCAAGAAACACATTGGAGATCCAGTCTCTGAATGGAAAAATTGCGGCGCTAGGAAGATTCATCCCAAGATCAGCAGACAAGTGGTTGACTGCCCGATTTGCATGGACCAAGGAGTGCGAAGCGGCTTTCCAAGAGCTCAAAGCCTATCTCGTTTCCCCCCTGTATTGACTGCCCCGAAAATTAATGAAGAGCTTTTCTTGTATTTTGCCGTGTCCACAAGAGCTGTAAGCGCAGTACTAATATCCAAGAGAGACGGTCAGAGCGAGCGCCCGGTGTACTATACGTCGCGAACTCTGGTCAGCGCAGAAACAAGGTATTCCCCGATTGAGAAAGCAGCCTTAGCACTGGTTAGCGCAGCGCAAAAACTACGTCCATACTTCCAGGCACACCGAATCACCGTCCTGACCAACCTCCCGTTAAAAAAGATCCTAACTTCAATGGAGGTATCAGGGCGGATGGTAAAGTGGGCCTTCGAACTGTCAGAGTACGACATCCAGTACGCTCCGC